TCTGATTTTTATTAAATGCCAAATCAACAAATAAAACCCAAATTGACTTCTAAAATTATATTGCTCAATTTTCAAATACCATAATTCCTAATAAACTCAAACTAAGACAATTAAGAGTATAAATGCCAAAAGAACCAATTTTGCTATTTTCTTTATTTAAAGTAACTTTACTACTAATTAATCCTAAAATGTGAAATTAACTCCCAAATGCAAATGCCAAGTATATTTGTATTTTTCACAAAATTGCAAAATAATGAAAGAAAATATTTTGTTTGAATTTCTGGGAGTGATTCATATAGGGCAAAAATCACGTGTTCACAGAAGGTGGGCGTGACTCCCATGGACGACAAGATGCAGGAAGTGATTCTTAGATGGTCCGGGCACGTGCAAAGGAGAAGCATAGATGCCTCAGTTAGGAGGTGTGAGCGGTTAGAATTGGCAGGTACGAGGAGAGGTAGAGGATGACCTAAGAAGTATTTGGGTGAGGTGATCAGGCAGGACATGGCACGACTACAGATTTCCGAGGACATGGCTCTGGATAGGAAGGGCTGGAGGTCGAGCATTAGGGTTGTCTCCGTCTGGTTTCGAGGTTCGATCCGGTAAGCCCCTTTCCTTTTGAGTTTTCTTTCTGTTATTATCCCGTTATCNGTATAAAAGTTGTACATTTTGACCGAATTCTATACAACAAAAAGTTATATATAAATGATATGTTTTGACAGAATTTATATATTATTTATAATAAAACTCTAGTTAAAGCAGATTAATAATGTCCTAATTTTGTATATAGAAAAACCTTCAATGAAATAATCATAAAAATGAATTAAATAAATACATTCTTTTCACTCATAATTAGAAATTTTAGATTCAATTAATAAAATTAATCGATATTTGATGGAAAGCACTTTTTTCTTAAACTTTATGAATGCTAATGTAGATTAATTAGGCAGGTCGGTTGATCCCAAATAGAATTACGTTATAAAAAAAATAGTCACAAAATGGAAAAAGAAAAAGAAAAAAAGGAAAAAGAAAACAAGAAGAAGAAGTTCGAAAACAGGACAAAAAGCAAAGAGAGGTTCCCTATTTCGCCCTTTCCTCTTTGGTTTCACCACCACCACTCGCTCACTCCTCTCTCTCTCTCTCTCTCTCTCCTTTCTAGCTGAGAGAAAATCAAATCAAATCAAACACCGTTTGATTTTATCCCCCTTTTCCGCTAGGGTTTCTGCACAAATTTCCCTCCAGAAGCAGTAGAAAAGAAGATCAATCAGCTATGGATCCGGTGCCATCGAGCGCATCTCATGGAAATCTTGACGAACAAATTGCTCAGCTTATGCAGTGCAAACCCTTGTCTGAACAGGAGGTTCAATTTCCCTTTTCTTTTCTTTTTTCGGATCTGGGTTTGCTGCTCTTTTTTATTCTCTCTTTAATTTCGTGGCTTTTTCTTGATATTCTGGTCTAAGATTTATGGGTTTGAGAATCAGATCCGTGTGTTCTTCATATATGTGTTGCTGGATTTCGAGATTTCGAAAATTTTCAGTTTCTTTTCAGTTTGGATGTAGGGAAAACATGGAAATGTTCGTTCTAGTCTTCTTTAGTATCATTTTCCTAGAAATTCATATAAAGGGATTCAAGAAAATACTAGAGTGTCACACTAGGATTTGAACTTGTGATCTAAGGCAATCTTTGAACACCCTTTAACACTACACTAGAATAATTTCTTATGTCAAGGGTATACAATTGTTTTTAACACCATAGCAAAAATAGTTTGCTTTTACCCTATTTGTGCAGTACAGTTTCCCCCCATGCTTCCTTTAGCCCCGCCACTGAATTGTAGTGAGTCAAACGTGCAGTGTACTTACCCTCATTTTTATTTTAAAATTGTTTTTACTTTCCTTTTCTTCAGAATTCCAAGATCCAACGAAAGAATTAGTGAGGTCATAACCTTTTTAAGTGAAAAACTTGATCTTGTTTTGACAAGTGAGGGATATGCTAGTGGAAAGGATCTCCATCTCCAATCCTGGGGGTTTAAGTACCAGATGACTCCTGAGTTCCGCATTAAAAGAAAATGAACTTGAATTTGTTTATGAGCTTGTCATTTTTTGATAAGTTCCTTCATGGGCTTGTAATTGAATCTGCAAATGCCCTAAAATAATACAATATCTCTAATTGAAAACCATGAAAAGATTGGTATTGGCTTATTGCAGAGTTGTAGATGAGTTTTCAGTAAGATTATGGCATACATTATTACATAAGCTTGTATACAGGAAATGGGTGCCCATGAAGCTTATAAAAAGGAGAGTAGAGGTCTATATTTAGGATACTTTGGGTCTTCTAGTGGAGTTGTTTTGTTTGAGCTTGTATATCTGAGCTTGTATTACACTCTTAATTAATGGCTTGCTGCATGTTGCCCTTTTTTGATGGTGCGTATGTTTTAGTCCTCCTGTATTAGCGATAAAGGAGCTCATGTTGCTGTATAGGTAAGAGGACTATGTGAGAAAGCGAAGGAGATTCTAATGGAAGAGAGCAACGTGCAGGTATGATACCTTGATGATTGGTTATGTTCTCTTGCCTTTTCTTTTCACTAAGTACAAGTTTTTCCCCTCCAAACCAGACAAATATTAGTATAATCTTTCCCACTAATTTCCTTACTTCACAATTCAAATCCTTATAATATTCTACCAATCTCAATCTAATAGCTCTTTGTTTCCACATAAAAGAGTCATAGGAGAAGAAAAATCAACTCGACAAGTCTTGGTCGAGATGAAACTAAGATGCTTCTGGAACCAGTGCTTTAGTATTAATCTTTTGGTAGTCAATGTAGACATCACTTTTTTAATCAATGATGTCCAGGCCGGCGTGCGTGCAACTTAACGATTTATCTGGCAACCTGTCTAACCCACAAGTACAGGTTGCCAGGTACTCCTGCTCACTAAGCTAGAGCAAATATGCTCGCAGTAAGTGTTGTAGGTGGGATTCAAACCTGGGATCTTTAGATTGTTGCTCTCTTGCCTCAACCACTAGGCCATATCCAGGAGGACTAAATTTGGAACATCTATTATGAGAAAGTAGTGTAAGGTCCAAACTATTCAGTGTAGGATAGGCTGGATTTTGACTCTCCTTGTATTTTTATCATCTTAAAGATGCAGAGTGAGGTAATTTTTTCTTTTATGACAGAATGTGATTAAGAATTGGAATATAATTTTAATGAATTTGAGAGCTTTTTCAAAACTATTCATTTTTAACATTTTACATGTAATTAGTATCCAAAATATTCCCAACTCCGTGGATAGATTGATTATTGGATTTTCCTTATTGCAGCCTGTGAAAAGCCCTGTGACTATATGTGGTGATATTCATGGTCAGTTCCATGATCTTGCTGAGCTTTTTCGAATTGGTGGAAAGGTATCACATTTTCTTGTTCTTTGCTTTCTCCTTTACGGATTTGTTCTTTGCCGGAAGATGAGACTAGGGGCATGCTAGAGCAAGAAAAAATTCTTAATTGTCTTTTATTTGTCGCAGCAATTCGTGGTGTCAATGAACATTTTCGAGTATATTAGTCATTTGGTTAGTCGTTTGGTTGGGGAAGAATTTCTCTTTTCTTCAGAAAGAAGGAGAATTTTCTTAATATGTTTTTAGAAGTGAGATGCAATGTTGCATATACTGTTATCCAAGTGTTGAGACATAGTTTTGTTGCTGGTCATGAAACTGTGTTAATAATCTGAAAGTGAACACAGTACAATATAATCCATTTCACTAACTCAAGAGAGGTAAAACGTGGCTTCTTTTCATTGCCATGGAGCAAACCAAAATCAATATGCAATGGAAAGAAAAAAGAAAAGAAAGATCTTCGGAAATGATGTAGGATATGTTCAGTCACTTGATTATCGAGTTCCGAGGACTTCTTTACTGTTCAGGATATGAGCTACATAATGCTTGTTTCTAAGAGTGTTAATGTGGCTGTATTATGACATGCAAATATGTAGTTTTAATGTTTCCAAGAAAGTGATTGCACTAGATTTGTTTTTCTTGCACATCCTAATTTGGTTTTATTGGCAGTGTCCTGACACTAATTATTTATTCATGGGAGATTATGTGGATCGTGGATACTATTCTGTTGAAACAGTAACGGTAAGCTTCTAACTCCTTTATTTCTTAAAACAAGTAGATGCAGTAATAATACATCAGTTGTTTATCATAAAGTCATGCAATGCTTGTAAACTTCTCCATCTCCCATATGCCTCTCTTCTTGTATCTCGCGTTATACTTTTTCGGGACAGTACTTTTTTGCATGTGATCTCTTGGATTTGGAGAAATATCTTCTGTTCTCCGCTACCTGAGGTGTGGAAAGCTTTTTATTACTGTATAACTATAATAGTTCACTTATGAATGGGCTGGTTTGGCTTGTTTGATATTATGGGTACACTGTTAGTTTTAGAAATTGGCATGTTGGAATGCAGGAACGCATAAGTTTTACATCGTTACAGACATAATAAATAGTTTTTCACTATCGTACTGGAACACCTCTTCACTACTGAGATGGGCTTAGTGTTATGTAGATGTTGCTAGTGATGGTCTCATTGACTATAAGCTCATCTGTTTTTCACTTTTTCCAGCTTTTGGTGGCTCTCAAAGTGCGCTATCCCCAGCGAATTACAATCCTAAGGGGTAATCATGAGAGTCGCCAGGTATACTTCATTCTTGACTTAAAGATCTCCCTGTCTCTACATTTTACATAAACCTCATCAAATGGATCCCTTTATGCAGTGAGTTAAAAGAATTTATTCATTTGTTCAATTATGATTTTAATCTTGAATAGATCTGGTGGCGAGCACTGATTGTTGCTCCGTCTCTTGCAGATTACTCAGGTTTATGGGTTTTATGATGAATGCCTACGGAAGTAAGTCCTCTTAATTTTACCTCTTGTATGTTATATTGTATGATCTCCTCTTCTTTGGCCTTGAGGTAGCAGGGAGTGGTGGGTTTGGATATTTGGATTAAAAAAATTCCTTGTCTTGGTATTTTCACAGTTAAGGGCGTGCTGTTTATATGTGAATTCTCTTGACATGTCTATATCTAGGTTCCACAGCCTAAACATTATCATAGTAGTAGTTTTTTCTAAATAAGGATTTTATGGTAGTTGTTTTTCAAGATATATAGTCGACATATGTGATTCATCATTTTAACTTCTATGAAATTGTAGTTGCTTTAGTGGGATACTTCCCAATTCCCTCCATGGCCCATGCATATGATGTATGGTATAACTTATCTTGTGAATGTACAGAGTCGATATGAGTTCATAAAGTAAAACGCTATGTGTCAAATGCTATATGATAATGATGGATTGAGTGTGGAACTCAAAACAATACTCCCTCTGTCCCAATTAAGATGATCCAGTTGGTTCGTGCAGATGTTGAGAAACGAAAATATTTTTATACTGGGGTTATTGGCGTATGTACTTTAAAATAAGTGTCGAAATGTGCATGTAGCATATGTTGATGTTCATGAAGTATATCAGTTTAAGAATACAGCTCGCTCTCAAGTCTGAAACGTTATTCTTTATTAAGCAAAAAACAGAGTAACTGTTGAAACTTGCAACTTAGAATGCTTTTTGTTTATTCCAAAAGGAAAAGGTTAGAACGCATTTTCTTCCATTAGTAGCTCATCTTCAATTCCCTTGTTCTGTAATATTTTGTGTCTTTTGGATGCTCTTCGAACTCGTCTTATTGTTAAGTTTTATAGCAATAAATGTTTAGTGATTTTCTGCATTTTTATTTTACAGGTATGGTAATGCCAATGTGTGGAAGACTTTCACAGATCTGTTTGACTACTTTCCTCTGACTGCTTTGGTTAGTATAATATCCTCCTTTTAACGTCTGTCAACGGATTACCTATTACATATTATGCAATTAGCTTTGTTTTTTAGGGGTTGATTTTGATCCGTAACACATGGTTCTGTTTAGTTTTTTTTTAAATTATTATGTATATTGCTGAGGTTATCCAAGTTATTTTTCCTTGGATATGTGATACGTTAATCCTCTTGCTTAATCCTATTTTATTTTTTTATTTTTAGAAAATTGGAACCCAAAACTATATTGAGTATTATGAATTAGCAGAGTTCTTTATGCTAGGGTTATATATTCAAATACTCAATATATTGCCTTAAATGGACTTGTGTTCAATGTATGAAACGCCCTATGTGGGAACACATTTGACAAAACCCAAAATCAAAGTTGGAACTCGATGTGGCTTGAAGTGTT